TGCAGGAGTTAGTGGAGAGCTGCTGCAGCGTGGGGGCCCCCCAACAAATGGTGGATTCGAATTCTGCCGTCGCTGCCAGCAGAAGCAACTGCGGTGTCTGTACACCAGGAGCAGCAAAGCAGGCGGACGGGGAGGCCCCCTTGCTGCGCCTTGAAAGCAGCAGCAGCAGCAGCAGCAGACCGCAGGTCGTGCAGCAGCACGCAGCCATCCTGTCCTGCAGACGCGAGCAGCGGCTGCCCGCTGCTGCTGCTGCTGCTGCTGCTGCTACTGGGGGCCCAGGCCACTGCAGCGGGAAGCCGCGCGTGCCTCGTCTTGAAGGCCAGCCGCTGGCTGAAGGTGGGGTCGCGGGGATCGTCTCCAGACCCCACATCTGCTGCTGCTGCTGCTGCTGCTGCTGTCTCCAGCGCCAGCCCTCCAGGTGTACGGACATCGTACAGCCGCACCCGCCCGTCAGCATGAGCAGCAGCAAGCAGCTTTTGGTCAGCAGCACTTAGCGCGAGGGCCAGCGGGGTTGATCTGCAGCGCCACTTCCCTGCTGCTGCTGCTGCTGCTGCTGCTGCTGCTGCTGGCTGCGCCCTCTGCGGGTCCCACAGCTGCAGCAAGCCGTCCTCAGAAGCGGAGCAGCAAAATGAATCACCAAAAACGACGTCAGTCACTGGAGAAGCGCATGCAAAGAGAGACACAGGAGACAGGCGCTGCAGCGGCCCCGCAGCAGCAGCAGCAGCAGCAGCAGCAGCGGGAGCAGCCGCAGCAACAGAAGCGCGCCGCTTCTGGCGCCTCCCACCGTCCTCCCGAGCTGCTTCCCCCGCTGCTGCCTCCCCTGCGGCGCCCCCTGCTCCCGCTCCCGCTGCTGCTGCTGCTGCTTCTGCTGCTGCTGCTGCTGCTGCTGCTGTTTCCCACAAAGTTATGCGGCCGTCGCCACCACCCACAGCAGTTAGCTGCGCTGCACCCCACGTGGCCACAGCGCTGGCGGGGCCCCCGTGGGCCCCAGCAGCAACAATTCTGTGTGTCCAGCAGCAGCTGCTCCTGCTGCTGCTGCTGCTGCTGCTGCTGCTGCTGCTGCTGGGGTCGGCCATGGAGACGAGGACGAGGCCCCCCCCCCGAGTGGCCGCCAGACACAGCTGCAAGCTGCTGCTGGGGGCCCCCATGTCAACAGCAGCAACAGCAGCAAGGGGCCCCTGCCCCAATGGCACTGCATGCAGCAAAGAGGGGGCCCCCACCTCAGCAGCAGCAGCAGCAGAATGCAGCCGCAGCACCCCGTCGTAGCACGCAGACACAATCGGCCCTGAAGCCCGCAGCAGCAAACGCAGCAGCAGCAGCAGCGATGGCAAAGGCAGCAGCAGGACGCAGCAGCAACAGCAGCAAAGGCACATGCAAGACACAGGCAGTCTCCGACTTGCAGAAGAACCAGCAGCAGCAACAGCAGCCGCAGCAACAGCAGGCAGCGCAGCAGCAACAGCAGCAACAACAGCAGCAGCAGCACCACCACCAGCATCACTAGCAACAGCAGCAGCAGCAGCAGCAGCAGCAGCAGCATCAGGCCTCACCCTGAGTTTTGGCCACAGCAACTGCAGAAATCCAGTCCGGCACGGGCGGCAGCTGCTGCTGCGGCCCTCGCCTTCTCGCAATCTCGTAGTGAAGGCGAACTGGGACTTCCGCAGTGAGGCCCAGCTGCTGCATATGCCTGCAGCAGCAGCAGCAGCAGCAGCAGCAGCAGGATGTGCAGGGGCAGGCGTGAGACACGCTCGGCTGCCGAGACAGTCTGCTGCAGCACCTGCCAGCGCAGCAGCAACAGCAGCAACAGCAACAGCAGCAGCATCAGCAGCAGCAGGAGCAGCAGCAGGAGCAGCAGCAGGAGCAGCAGGAGCAGCAGCAGCAGACTCCTTGAGGGACTTGACAAGAAGAGTCTTGCAGTCCACGTAAAAGTCCAGGGGCTGCGCCGAGGGCCACAACTCTGGCTGCTTTGCTGCCAGCAGCTTGTTCACCAGCTGTACGTACACCCCACGCCCCACACCCCACACCCCACACTTCACCAGGTGTACGTACACCCCACACCCCACAGCTTCCAGCAAACCCAAATGGGCAAATTAAATGCTGCAGCCAATCCAAATAAGTAAATTAAAACGCAGCAGCAGAACACCCAAAAGGACACCCAGCCTCCGCAAACAAAGGGCCCTAAACGCAGCAGCAACGAAGCAGCAGGGGGGCCCCCGCAGGGGGCCCCCAGGGGCCCCCAAGGGCCCCCAGAGGCCCCTAGGGGCCCCAGGGGCCCCGGATCTCCTAGAGGCCCCCGGGGGCCCCAAGGGGTCCCCAGGGGACACCAAAGGCCCCCAGGGTCCCAGATCTCCTAGGAACCCCCAGGGGCCCCCAGGGGCCCCTAGGGTACCCAGGGGGCCACCCAGGGGGCCCCCCGGGGCCCTGGGGGCCCCTAGGGGACCCAGGGGCCCCCCCTTAAGGTGGTTGCATTTTTTTGGTTGGTGGAAATGGCAGCAGCAAATGTTTACCCTGGACAATTCACTGCGGTGTACAGACACCTCAATGCTGATGGGCTCCTGCGGCAGCTGGAGGGCTTCGGGCATATCTGTGGTGAAGTAGACGTAGGCGCGAGCCCCCAAGCCCACATTGCTGCTGCTGCTGCTGCTGCTGCTGTTGCTGCTGAGGGTGTCTTGCTGCTGCTGCCAGGGCTTCTGATGCGGCTCGTCTTCGAGCCACGAGGGCCTCGCGGCAGCACGAAGGCCCGCTAGGGGCCCCGCAGCAGCCATTTCTTCTTTTTAGAATTAAAATAGTAAAAGTAAAGCAATTAAATTAAATTACTGCCCGCAAACCCTAAACCCTAAACCCTAAACCCTAAACCCTAAACCCTAAAGCGGTGTGGGGCAATGAGCAGCCGGCGCGCGGCTTCCTGGCTAGGCAGCGAACAGAATTTAATTTTGTTTCTATTTTTAAATTCAAAAAACAAAATTAAATTAATTTAAAAATAATAAACAACCAAAGTTCCCAGCAGCAAAAGCTCTGAGCCCACTTGGGGGGCCCTGTGGGGCCCCCTGAGAAAGCCCCCGTGTACCCTGGGGCCCCCTGGGGCCCCCAAGTGACCCTGGGGCCCCCAAGAAGACCCATTTTGTTTTTACAATACTTATTTGCATGCACTTTCTTGTTTTAATTCCTTGTTAATTCTTTTTAATTCATTTCCACTCCAATTAGCAGCCCTTGGGGGCCCCGCGAAGGGAAATGCCACTCTCGGGGCCCCTTGTCGCCTGCAGCTGCTGCTGCAGCTGCTGCAGCAACGGCAGCAGCAGCAGCTGCTGCAGCGACTGCAGCAGCAGCCACAGGAGAAAGGGACTTATGGCGGGGAGTCATAGAGAAGAACAATGAGAGAAGGAAAAGGGCCAATTAGAGGCAGCTACTAAAGTGAAGCAAATCATTTTCAGCAGCAAAAGCTGCTCCTGAGCTGCTGCTGCTGCTGCTGCTGCTGGTGCAGCAAGAGATGCCTCTTTTGCTGCTGCGCACAAAAGCCTTAATTTATATGGCTGGTCTTAGAAAACACTTTAAGCCAAAGTAACTTGCAGCAGCTAAAAGGGAATTTGCGAATTATTTGACAAAACAGAATACCTTATTTTATTTTAATTAGGAAAAAGAAAATTTTGTTTTATTTTAGTTAATTTTGTTTTATTTTCTTGCCAAAAAAGAGTATTTTGTTTTGTGTTCAATTATAAAAAAGAATATTCTGTTTTGCTTGCTAATTAAATGTAATTTAATTAAATTTAATTAAACTTAATTAAAATTAATTCAAGTTAATTTAATTCAATTTCCTAAATTTTAAATTCTGCAGCAGCGCATGACATTTTGGTTCAATTTTTTGCGTTTTTTGGTATTTTGAAACAACAATGAACACTTTTTGACATTTTAAAACTGTTTTTGGCGTTTTAAAACCCTTTCCTGGCGTTTTAAAGCCCCTTCTTGGCGTTTTAAACCCTATTTTGGCGTTTTAAAACCCTTTTTTCTGAAATGTGGATCCCAGAAAGTCCCGTTTGCCGCAGCAGCAGCAGCAGCTGCTGCTGCTGAAAGCGCTGCAGCAACAAATGCCAAAAAGTTTGAAGCAAAATGTTTCCCACCATTTCCAGACAAGTGAATTTCGAAAATATTTAAAAAACATTTTAAAAATGATTGAAAGGCATATAAAAGCTTTTAAAAAGTATTTTAAAAATATTTTAAAGACATTAAAAAGGCATTTAAAAAGCATTTTTAAAAATATTTAAAAACCGTTTTAAAATGCGCTTAAAAGGCATTTTCAGAAGAACTTAAAAGGAATTTAGAAAGCATTTAAAATCCATTAATTTAATTTAATTTATTTATTAAAAGTGAATTTGAAAAGGACCTAAAAAGCATTTTAGAACATAAAAACATTCTAAAAACTATTTGAACATCATTTTGAAGAGAATTAAAAAAGCATTTTAACACCATTTAAAAACCATTTAAATGCCATTTAAAAAACTTTTTAAATGCATTTAGAAACAATTTTAAAGGCATTTAAAAGAAATTTAAAAAGAATTTAAAATCATTTTAAAAAGCGCTTTTAACTTTTGCAGAAATCTCCCGAGAAGCGAAACGAGTCTGCATGCTATTTTCTAATTTAGCAAAACTAGAAAATCTTTTTTTCTCTTTTTCTGCTTTTTAATTCAAATTTGAGGCCTTTTGAAGCCCTTCTAGGCCCTCAACTGCGTGGCTAGCTGGCTAGCTCCGTGGCTAGCTAGCTGGCTAGCTAGCCAGCTAACTAGCCAGCTAGCTAGCTGTGTGGCTAGCTAGCTGGGAGCCCCTGCCCGGGCGAACTAGCAGCAAATTGCTGCAGGCCCTGAAGCCCCACAGAGTCTGGTGGGGCCCCCCAGCTGCGAGGGGGCCCCCAGCGGCGGCCTGCAGCAGCAAATGAAATGAAATTAAGTTAAAGAGCAGCAGCTGGAAGTGTTTTGAGGATGGGGCTGCTGCACACACAGCAGCAGCAGCAGCAGCAGCAGCAGACGGCCCACGGGGCCGCAGCCGCTGCTGCCGGCAGTAGGTGCTGCGTCTTTGGCCTTTCTTTCGCATGCACTAGTTCAAAATGCGCGAAAAAGAAAATAAAAGAAATTAAAAAAGGAAATAAATAAAAGGCTTACGGGCTTTGGGGCGCGCTGCCCCGCCGCACATGCCAGCGCACATGCAGCGGCTGCTGCTGCTGCCGCGCGCAGCAGCTGCAGTGTCTGCGGACCAAAGGCATGTGCAGCACAAAGGAGCCTCTATTAAAGCAGCATTTAATATTCTTTTGTCTTTAAAGTGAAGCTGTGGGGTCTGTAGGGCTGCTGACGCCCAAAAGCAGCGGCAGCAGTTAGGGGGGGAGCCGCAACGCAGCCGCAGCAGCAGCGCGGGGCCTCCCAGCCCTGCTGCAGCAGCAGTTTAGGCTTCTTTACTTTCGTGTTTGGCTGCGACATTGCGCGACAGCTATTTGCCAACTTCTGCAGCAGCCTTAACTGCGCCTTCTGCTCCTCCTTCAACGGTCGCCAGCGGCAGCAGCAGCAGCAGCAGCAGCCCCAGCTGCTGCTGCAGACGCAGTTCTCAGGCCCACCCAGCAGCAGCTCGCCTTTCTCGCACTCGTTGCACTTTGTTGCTTTTGGAGTTTGTTGCTGAGGGGCCTCCCCGTCTCTGCCGCCTCTGCGGGGGCCCTCGTCAGGTGCAGCGCACAGCAGCAGCAGCAGCAGCAGCAGCATCAGCAACAGCAGCAGCAGAGGCGCCGAGATCTATCGGTTTGGCAGCAGCCGCCGCTCAGCAGCAGCCGCTCAGCAGCAGCAGCAGCAGCAGCGCAGCAGCAGCAGCGCAGCAGCAGCAGCGCCGCACCAGCAGCTAAGCAGCAGCTCAGTAGCAACAGCAGCAACGCCGCCTTCTCCGCGCTCACCGCTCTTCGCAGCCTCTCTCCGCTTCCCTCCGGCTGCTAGGGCTTTTGCAGCCAGGCCTAGGGTTTAGGGTTTAGGGTTTAGGGTTTCTCCAGCTCGTCGAAGCAAACTGCAATCTGCTGCAGCAGCAAAATGGCCCGCAGCGAGCAGCAGCACCAGCAGCCCAACAGCGGCGGCGGCCGCCCCGCTGTTGCTGCTCGCCGCTCCCCATTTGTTCTCAGGGGCCCCCAGGGGGGCCCCCCAGG